CTTTCTTCTGGCGCGTCTTCTTTTTTTGTTCAATTGGAAACGAAGAAGAAGGAGAAGAAGAAGAAGAAGAATAGTGAAATAGTGAAAACAGTGGCCAACTGCCTTTCGTACACGCTTCGAAAGCTCTTACGTACATATCCGCGCATACTCATCTCAGGATTCTCAGCTCACGCGCACATTCCCCGACGCGTTTCGATCGGTTGCGCTCCGATCCTCCTCAGGGGGCTAACCTCTTGACCCTGCCTTGCGGCCCGCCGACAACCCTCCCGTCTTACTTAGTATAGAAGAAGAATCGGAAACGAAGAAGAAGAAGAAGAAGAAGACGAAGAAGACGAAGAAGAAGAAGAAGAAGAAGAAGAAGAAGAAGAATGATGACAATCAATGACCAATTGCTTCTGCACACGCTCACTGAAAATCAGTCAGTAACAAACTTCATACGTGTGACATGCTCAAACGCGCACGTTTCCCTCTACATGTTTCGACCGGTTGCGCTCCGGTCTCATCAGGAGGCGATCTGCGATACCCAGCCTTGCGGCTCCCACCCTGCACTATCCCAGCCATGAGCTGTGAGGACCATTGCGGCCTTGCCCTCGACTTGTAGGTAGCGTCTTCGCTTGCGCGTGCGGCCTAGCTCTCTGGTATGCTGTGATTGGCTCATCCATCCTACAGCGGATCGGACTAGTCCGCGTAGCCGTCCTACCCGTCGTCGTTCGTCAGGCCTCTGCGCCGCGCTGGACTGCCCAGGTAATCTCAGGTAGTTCTTGTTCTAGTTCTCGTGCGTACCACCTAGATTTCAAATTCGAATTTGCCGCTTTGCATATTTCTTCCCGCTCAGAATCCGTTATCCTCCACCTAACTATTCCACGCATACTCCCACGTGTCGAGCCCCCCGCAAAAGCGATCTTTTTGATTTTTAATTAAGAAAAAGAGATCTGGCGCGTAGTTCTTCTTGAGTGCGCTGTCGCACGCACCTGAGCGTGTTGGCTTCGCTGTTGCTGTGCGGCGCAATGTATAGGTTTTTGTTTTTCTGTTTTTTTTTTGTTGGGTCTGAAGGCCTCAGCTTATCGGTAGGGAGTAGCACCTGGGGCGAGCTTAGTCCCGATAGCAAAGACGATTGGATCGAAAACCTGAATCTAGACGTGTTCGTGTAAAGGTGCTGGAGGAAATCGAGGTTGAGCAGCTTTTCTGAATCTCTGCTTAAAGGCCGTCCAGATTAAGGAGCTATAAACTAATCCTCGCTGCTGGGAAGCGGCTCAAGCATCCCCAATTTACAAATTCAGTTATTTTTATTTATTTTTATTAATTTTTTTATTTTAATACAAATGCAGGTTCTCGAAATTCCTCAGTAGCAGCCTTGGCTGCTCTTAAAGGAAGCGGTTGATTGACTGCTCTTCGTACGATAGTAGAGTGTCGCACACCGCTCTGCAATCGGTGGGGTATCGTGCGCGCCTGGGTGTGATTAGCTGGCTTCGCTGTCGCTGTGCGACGCTGAAGTATTGAAGTATGGTAGTGTCGCACAGCGCTCTCGGAATCCGTGTGACGGGATCGCGTTTGCCCCTAATGCGAAACTGTACTAATGTCCCACAGCGCCCTGGGGATCCGTGTGTGATGGGATCGGGATCGGGTTTGTTGCTCGTACTGCGACGCTGTAGTAGTAACCACTTCACGAGACTGCTCTTATCACTTCCTTAAGTGGTGCCCCTGACCCGAGGTTTTCAAAAAAAAAAAAAAAAAAAAAAAAAAAAAAAAAAAAAAAAAAAAAAAAAAAAAAAGTCGCACAATGCTCTTGGAATCCGTGTGATGGGATCGCGTTTGCTCGTAGTGCGACGCTATAGGAGTGTCGCACAGCGCTCTTCGGATCCGTGTGACGGGATCGCGTTTATTCGTTCACCTGGATTTTGTTTGTAAACTCTCCTCTTCCCTCTTAGGAGCAAATTCTTCCCCGCCAAATTTGTTCCCGCCAAATTTGTGTCTGCCAATTTTTTTTCCCGCCAAATTTGTTCCCGCGCCAAATTTGTTCCCGCCAAAATTTCCCAGATCCTCGATGATAGATCGTCACCGTTGATCTGCTCGTCTACAACGGCGCGTGTTGTCATCTGCGCCCGGCATTTATTTATTTATTTATTTTCTGGTCAGCGTTGCGCTCATCGGGGAGCAGCAGATCTGCCTGTCTTCCTCCTTGTTTTTTTTTTTTTTTTT